CTAGTACTCTCTTTCCTCTCTTCTCCACTTGTTGGAACCCTGCCCTTCTACAAAACCTCCCAGTGCCCTGATCCAAATGCCTCTACTACATTTTACCTCCTCTAATTTGCTCTGCTATCCACAAAACTTTGGAGATTAATGCTGCATAATATCCCAAATAAAATAACAATTGATAATATTATGTGCCATTTACAAGTTCTTCTTTTCTAGCCATATCTTATTACATTTTTATGAAACGGATTGCTACCTGCACTTACTATAAATCGGTCTATTCGTGTAATTTTTAATTTGGAGCTCTAGAGCCAGGTAGTTAAATAGTCTGCTTCCTTTAACCATTATCAGAATACTCACTTGCTATCACTTTCTGAACACTCCTTTAAGGCAACCAAATCATAGTTTCAAATATAAGAGGCCAAGAACATGGCAATCCAGGAAATAAGAAAAAAGAACCACTTTGCCTTAGAAATTCAAGTTTAACATAGCATAGTAAAAAGTGTCATTAATATAAGTTGAATACCTATACATTATATAAATATTATATATACATATAATATATATATCTTAGTTTTTCTATTTAACCCATGCAGCAAATCAATGTGATTGGTTTTGTTTTCCCCATTGTACAGGTGAGAAAAATGAGGTTTAGAGGTTAACTTTCTAAAGTTTACACACACAATTGATAAAGAAACAAATTAATATTAGCATTTTTTGATCCTAAACTCTTCACACCAAAATAATTGTTTTCCCTCTTGCATTTTGGTAGTTTCTAGAATGTCTTCTCTGGATGGATTTTCTCAAGATCTATGCACATAAAGTAATACTTTTGGCTAGGCTCTAATGTTTCTATACAACAAAGTAGATAACAAGAGAATAATTATAGAGTTAGAAGCGAATACTCTTTAAAGAGGTTTAGCTCATTCCCTATATAGTTATATGACAACATTCTGACTTTGTGAGTCCATCCCATGAGTGTAGGAGCTATGGAAGATGTGGCTAGATGTAGGAACAGAGTTCCTATGAACAACCTTACTGAGCATCATCATTGTAAAGCTCTGTGCTGTGGGAGTATGCAGAGGGGTCCTCACTAGAAGCTGGGAACATGGAGCCATCACATTTACTCCAGGGAGCTATTGTTGCTGAGAGCCTATTTAGAAATTCTAGTATAGCCCCAATTGTGAAAATCATCTCCTTGATGAATATTTTCATTCATTCAATTAATATCCTGCCTTCGCTGCAGGTCCCGTGGGTGGGATCTAAAATCTGATTTGGGCAACAACCAAATAAAATATCAAAGTCAAGTTAAACATAAGGTTTAGGTCCAAAGGGGCAATACAATTTTTTTTAACAGGATTGGTTCTTTGATGTGGCTATTAAATTCTTTCAAGGCAATTCCAAAAGTTATTTTTAAAAGTCAAGCTGCTAGAACAATCCATATGTTGGTAGGTCCACAGTTTTGTCTTCTTTTAATCTAATGTACCATAATGAAACTTGTTTTTTCATGGTCTAATTACCTATGCCTAATACTAAAATTGATTGTCCCCTGAAAGCTTAAGCAACCCTAAACTGATTCTAAGTCTACAATAATATATATACACACTATGTTCGCTATGTTAGTTTGGTTCCCCTTCCCTGCTTTTTTCCCCCCTGTTCTCTCCCTCCCTTTTTCTCTCTTTCTTTAACACATTGACACATGTTTTATTATTTAAACTGACTTTTCGGAAACTTTGTACCAGGTTACTTTTTCTTTCAAAGGGTTTATTTTGTCTGGATTTTGAGAGTTTTGAAGATGTATCAGCTCTCACTTTCCTTAAAATGGGGGCTTGTCACACCATAAAAATCCCTTCTTCCAACCAATTTCCTGGTTTCTGCTAGGGTGCTCTGAGCCAGTCAGAAGAAGAATCAAGTGATACTTCACAGTAACGTCCCAGCTCACAGAACCTTATCTTGCAAAGTGCATACTTTAGATTATAACTGAAAACAGGCAAGTTTGCCCTGCCTCTGGCATGACTCCAAACATTGGAAATTTTAGAATGTGGTGTTTTATGCTGAAATATTACACAATCCCCAAAGTGCAAAATGGCTGTGCTCTCACTATTGCTATGTTAGGGAGAGGGGGTAGAGGGAAATCAGGTTCTAAAATAGAGCATGTTCCTTTGGATAGCATGAAGGTGAGGGAAGTGAGGAATGGACACCTGATAGACATTATTCAATTCAGGAATCTTCCAACTTGGAGAGGAAGAAAGATAACACTAAAAGGACTTTTTAAATCTCTCCTACAGGCTCACAGAACACCTAAGAACTGAGTGAAATGCCACTCATCACTGGAGCTTGAAAAGCCCCATTTCTTGGTCTCTGAAATAAAACTCTTTTGTCTGACCCAAAGATCAGAAGAAGGCAAGGTCTTGATTTTGACCTGAGAATCAGAATTCTCTGGATTAAATGCTTTAAGAAAAAGTTCCCTTCCCCTTTTCGAGTCTAATTTCTAGACTAGCTTTTTCCCAGAAGATAATTACAAAATCTATTTGTTCTTTATAAATATTTAAAGGATCATGAAAAGGTAAATTACTTCCATCCACTGCCACCTTTGAAATATAAAGAAATGAACATAAAAATGTATGCCCTTTAGCCTCTAGGGTAGACTGAGGCCAGTGATGGAAAGCCATCCTCACTGATTAGGGTAGGAAACGAGATGGGCCTCTCACCACCCATTTGTCCCTTCAGCCAGTCAGCCAACACAGTTATTCAGCACCCACTATGTCCCAATTATTTGAGCAGGTGCTGGGGCACTAAGAACTCTAGCCCTACACCTAGTGGACAGCACCCCCCCCCCACCTTTTTCTCTCCGCTGACATTTAAAAAGCCTCAGAGAAACATGCAGATTCGCGGAGAGAAACTAACTCGAAGCAAGCATTCATTTAATTGCTCCAGCTGAAGTAAACCAGGCCTGAGGCGGGTACCACCAGTGAGGAGGTGTGGGGGGACATAGTTCTGCCACCGGCTGGGCTGGATTTACTCGTGCACTCCTTTACTACTGAGTACTCACTGCAGTGTAAATGGCTGCCTTTACAAAGTCTGGGCAACTAGGGGACATCTCATTTACAGATGTCAGCTCTCCTTTCCTTTGGGGACAGGAATAAGTATCTGGAGAGGACACCATCAGCCCCTGATGTGAAGAGCTTAAAATGTCGAAGAGGAAACTATGCTTTCCTGGCAAGATATCTTAGGGCTATGCCGGGCATCCTGTCGCCGCACCCTCGTGCCCGCTTCCCCGGCCCCGACCTCAAAGATGCCCCAGCCCGGATGGCAGGCGGCGCGCCACTGGGGCTCTGCGGCCCCCCAGGTGCGTGTCCGAAGCCGGTACGCTGAGACCCGCTTCCCAGGAGCGCCCAAACCTACACAGGAGAGCGCTGCCCTCTAGCGAGCGAAGCAGGAGATGCAGCGCGACCCGAGTTTCGGGAGGGAGCCGTGTGGCTGCTGGTCCCCACGAAGGTTGAAGTAGTGGTCAGTCCTTTGCACCGGGCGCTATGGCTAGGAAAGTCCTAAGACCCTTTCTCTATGTACGTATGGGCTCTGGGACTGTTTGCAGTTTCCCTCTCAAGCCTGGAGAGATAGATACATGATGATAGATAGATAGATAGATAGATAGATAGATAGATAGATAGATAGATAGATAGATAGATAGAAAGAAGAGAGATGATAGATAGATAACAAAAATAGATGGATAAACAGATGTCTGATGGGTAAATGATAGACAAACCGGGACGTAGATAGATGACAGATTATTAGAAACACGTTTTTAGAACTTGTTCTGTGCCAGGGACAAGTCTAAATGTGTTCGTTCATTATTTCATATGCGTATCTCGGGAACCCTATGAATGGCACATTACGTCTGTCCCTATTTTCCAAATGGGGTACTGAGTCCTTAGACAACGTAAATAACTTGCCCCTTAGCAATTTTCCGTTGAGCTAGAAAGTGGCCGAGCGAGTCTCAAATGTCAGCTCCGGCTACCAGATCTGGCTCTCCGCCCCCTCACTGTCAAGAGGATTTGCGCGTCCCAAGCCCTGAACACTCTGGGTACCGCGTCCCTCATCGCTCCCTGGACACTAGGGTCCTGGCGTGCTGACATCGCACCCGCCCCGGCACCCTCTCGTACTCATCCAACACCCCCGGGGACACCTTGGGCAGCCCTGGAGGCAGCGATCCCGATTTGGCAGACTGCCTGGGAAGCTGGGTAGACGCGGGTGCGCTCCCGCAGTGGCGGAACCGCATGCAGTTCCCTGAGGAACTCCGTTCCAGAAGCTTAGGCTTTACTGCGTCCGCTCTTGGCAAACGGTCTCACTAACGCGAAAGGCGAAAGCTCAGTCCTGAGATTTTAAGATTCCCGAAAAGTTTTCATCGTTTAACCATTAACTGAGAGCCTACTATGCGCCTGACGCTGTTAAGTGTTATAGCAAGGAACTCGGGGTCTAGTGCTGAGACAGGCAGGTGAATAAATAACGACTTTCGGGACAGCTGTGCTTAGTGCCCCCCGCGACCGCGAGGGCGCCCCAGGGGGAGGCGAAGAAGGGCCTGTTCCCCAACTCGGAGGGTCTCCAGCATTCCAGAAATCCAGATCAGTCCATCTGCCCCTCCTAACGTCCCACCTCGGCTCTGTCCCTGGAGCGCTCACCCCAGGCGCAATTGCATTGCCCTTATCGGAGGGGACTTGATTTCATCCCACTCTTTCCCCAAATTCCCTAATTACCTTGGTTTGTCACCTGGCGGTGAGGAAAACCTCAAGCTCCCTCCCACACCGCCTCCTCCCTACGGGGCCGGGGGCTGGAGCCCGGCGAGCACCAGCTGGGACCGACCCCTCCCGTGACGGCGTCGGCGGGGGTGGCGTAGGGCCTGCGTCAGCTGTAGCCCGCCGGCGATTGGGGCGCGCTCACCTCCTTCGGTTTGAGGCTAATTATAAAGTGGGTCCAGCCGCCGCCAGCGCTGGGACAGCCAGGAGAGGCAAGGCAGGCGCTCTGAGACCTGCAGTCCAGACCGCGGCCCCGTGGCGACACTGACAACCGCTGCGGTGAGGCCGGAGACTGCCTGCGCCCCCGGCAGCTTCTCCCCGACGCCGCTTACCTGACACCTGCTTTCTCCTCTCCCTTCTAGTGTAGCGGCTGGGACTCGGCTTCTTCCACCAAGCTGCTGCGCCACCGGGACAGCGTCAACGTGAGTGAACTTGCCCAGAGCGCGCCCTGGCTGCGTGCCTTTGGGGTCGTCCACCTGATCTGTTTTATTCTGCGTTTCATTGCATGGGGTTCCTAACTTCCTCTCCAGTCTCCCGCTTTCGCGCGTTTGGTCTTTCGCTGTTCCCTCCAGAATCCTGCCTGGAGCAGCAGACGCTCTGGAAGAGAGGCCAGTGTCCTGAGCAGCCCAGGACTCAGGGCGACAGTGCCAACCTGGGAACCGCGAGGCGATCTGAGCTGTTCCCCGGCCTCTCAAAACAGCGTCGGCCGGGCGGGCGGGGACCGAGGCAGGAGCATCCCTAAGAGCTCCTGCTCTCTTGTCCCACAAACTCCCGGCTGGGACTGTCTCGGCGACGGTCCCTCCGAGGAACCCGCTCGCTTCAGGCAGGCTCCGAGTTCGCGTCCCTCTCTCCCTGCAGCCCATGGCGCGGTTCCTGAGACTCTGCACCTGGCTACTGGCGCTCGGCCCCGGGCTCCTGGCGACCGTGCAGGCGGAATGCAGCCAGGATTGCGCGACGTGCAGTTACCGCCTGGCGCGCCCGACCGACCTCAACCCGCTGGTGAGTGTCAGCGCTGCGGGTGAGCCAGTGGGGGCCCCCGCGTGGCGCGTCCTCTGGTCACACTAGGTCCGCACCGCCGCAGCCCGGATCTCCGGTGACTCGGGTCTCCCGACTGTTCCCCCAAAGGCTGCCCCGGGTCCCGCTTTAGCACTTACCTTCAGGGACTTGCAGCTACCTAGGGACCAGTAAGGGCGGCCACATCCCCACACTAACCAAGTTTGTTTGAACTTCCGGGATACGGGAGCCCCGCGGTGTGCTCTCTTCAGCACCTTGGAAAGCACGGGGTTGTCACCTTACCTGTCCCAAGGAAGATGCTCAGTCCCCCCAACTTCTAACATCCTACGAAGGGACCCTTTCAGACACAGCCATGCTCTCATCCTGCCCGCGGACAATGTTGTCATTTCTTATTAGTACATTTCGTCTCCTTTTTTCGGATTTCATTTCTCTAGCCCTTTTAACCTCGTGTCCCGCAAGCCCTTGTCCTCACCTGTGAGAACTAAGGGATGAGGGGGGGAGGGGTCCAGCGAAAGGAAGGGGAGCACGCAGTAGAGGGGAAAGACATCAGCAACTGTCTCACAGGCAAGTGAAGCTGGGATTCAACTTCTGTCACGTCTTGAATGTGCGTTTGTAAAACCTAGGGAGATAACAGTTTGATCCTCCGAAAAAGGCACAGGAGAGTTGGCCAGCGTCCAAAGAGGTGGCAACTAGCAAAGATAAACCACGCCACTGAATGGGAGGGGGGAGGTGCTGGGAACAAAAGAGCTCTTAATTCTAATCATAGTCCATGTGCCCTTGAATCACCACTGATGCTCTACTGATCAGAAGCTCTGAATTCGGGACTGGGGAAGCTTCATTTTAACTGGCCTCCTTGTGATGCATTTGCACTCTTCTCAATTTGTTGAAATTCTGTGATGACTTCAGCAGCTCAGTGAAGAATAATGTATTCATCCAAGGAGGGGTTAAGCTCTTCACTGGAGCCTTTGAAGAAATTTTTATGTAGATACATAAAATAGTGGCAAAAATTAAGGAAAGGATTGCACAAAATCAAAGGCATATAATTCAGGCTAAAGGTTTGTTTGTTTCATTTGAATTACCTAATTCACTTGATTTGATACATACATGTGCTTAACACAGCCTTAAAGAGTAGATGAATAATAGGGCTTTATATTTATTTTTTTCAGATTGTTCTTTATTCAAAAGGCATCGTGTGATACATATTTAAGATTTTATTAAAATCATTTGTAAGTTAACATAATATCTCAATGTTCAAGAAAAATTTTCAATTACAAGAAAAATGTTGCCTCTTAAATAGTTAACTGATTTGTTTTGTATAGAAGCTTACATTTTCTCTGTGGCAAAAGGCTTTGTTAATGACTGTGTTGTTAGAATTACAGCAGTTCTGGAATTTTATCTTGGACGCAAAAACACATGAGAAATAAGGTTGCCTAGCCAAAACTATGTAGTAAAATCAATGTAACAATTAATTGACCTTCAACCACATGAAAGACACTTATCCTTGTTTCTGTGGGAGGTGCAAAGATATGTAGCCATGCTATGACTGATGTCCAAATTGAATTTACTGTCCGATATGACCTTGACCATAGAACACAGTGTGAGATAAATGCAACAAAAAATGCATAGACATACAAGGAGCATATAACTTCTGGTGACTTTTTTTAGTATGAATGTTTTATTCTAATTATTTGTCACTTTTTGAAGAAATCCTAACATTGAAAAGAATTTCGGTTATACTATACAAAATATTCAATATTAATATATGGTACAGAAATAATTTAAATTATATTTTTAAAATAAAAATATTATTGACACCTAAACATTTTAATTGTTAATGACATTTTGATTTCTTAAATAATAAAAGTAAAACAGGATTGTTTTCATTAAATCATCTTTAGGTTTTTATATTGCATATATTTAATTTTCTTAGGTACAAAACTTAAATAATCACTAAAAGTTCATTAAATATTCACCCTAAAGAATTTTGTTGCAGTAATAAAATGCTTTCTTACATTGTTAAAATATGTGCCTATGTTATATGTAATCAATATACAAAATATTTTTAAATATCAAGAAAGAACCTGGTTTTTCTAAGTAAAGGGTCAGTAACCTGGGTTCTATAAGTAAACTTCAGGGGGCTATTAAAAAATCCCTGAAATACTCAGAAATATCACATCTTCATGTATAATTAGTACTCTTTTTATCATAGCCAAATGATTTGTTGAATACAAGAGAATCTTTTTTATTTAATCTTTATTGTATTTTTCCATTACCATTTAGTCCTTTATACCCCTCCTCCCAGCAATCACCACACTTTTTATTAGAATATATAGCCTCTTACAATGATTAGAATTTAATTATATAATAAAAAGGAAGGAGTTGTAAATGGATCATTTCTATTTTGTCAGATAACATGATTTCCATTGGAAAAGACATCTTTTCCATACAACTGTAACTAAATGTTAAGAAAAAGTAACATGAATAATTTAAACATTAGCATATATATAATTTCGCATTGGTTCTTCATAACTACAAACATTTGGTTCAGGATAATTAAATCTGTTTTAATCAATTAAGAGGGAAGAAAAACGAAACCTCTACTTTCATCAAATCAGTATATCATAACCCAAATAATTCATAGAATTTAAATTGTTTTTACAAGGTCTTTTTTCAAACTTCTTTTGAATTTTTTTTAAAGATTGAAAATGTTTGCAGGAATATTGGATACCATTGCAGGTAAAACATTAACACAAGAAAGTAAACAAACCTTATATCATTAATACTGATTTTATCCTGTAAGACAAGAAGATAAAAGAAATTTTGGGATAATCTCCCTAATTATGTAAAGAGAAATTTCTCCCTCTTGGCTAGGAAACACTCAAATAAAATGAAATCAACAGTGGAAAATTATCCAATGAAATTAGATTATGCAGGAAGCCAACCTAGGTTCAAACTGAGTAGATAACATCTTTTGCAGTATTGAAATGGCCCAATATATACAATCTGTTAAAAGTAAAAGAAAAACTCTAATATGTTTCAATTAATTCTCCACGATTTTTCTAAATCAATTTTTCTTTGATTGGCCTGTTTAGTATGATGAAAAATTGTGATAAGAAAATACAGATTATTATGTGAGAGTTTTCATATCAAAGCAAGTATATTGTGGTCCAAACAAATCTGTTTACTTAATAAAACAAGAGAAGCCTCTTTTTATCCTTAAATCGAATTCTTTTCCCAGGCTTGCACACTGGAGTGTGAAGGGAAATTGCCTTCTCTCAAAACCTGGGACGCCTGCAAGGAGCTGCTGCAGCTGTCCAAACTGGAGCTTCCTCAGGAAGGCACGGGCTCTCTCAGGGACAGCGGCAGGCAGGAGGAGGGCCACTTGCTGGCCAAGAAGTACGGGGGCTTCATGAAAAGGTATGGAGGTTTCATGAAGAAAATGGACGAGCTTTATCCTCTGGAGCCAGAAGAAGAGGCCAACGGGGGTGAACTCCTTGCCAAGAGATACGGGGGCTTCATGAAGAAGGACGCAGGGGAGGACGACACTCTGGGCAATTCCTCCGATGCCCTGAAAGAGCTGCTGGGAACTGGGGACAACAGGGAGAGCGGCCACCACCAAGAGGGCAGTGATGTTGAAGAAGTGAGCAAGAGATATGGGGGCTTCATGAGAGGCTTAAAGAGGAGCCCCCAACTGGAAGACGAAGCCAAAGAGCTGCAGAAGCGATACGGCGGCTTCATGAGAAGAGTGGGTCGCCCAGAATGGTGGATGGATTACCAGAAAAGGTACGGGGGCTTCCTGAAGCGCTTCGCCGATTCTCTGCCCTCCAGTGAAGAAGGTGAAAGTTACTCAAAAGAAGTTCCTGAAATGGAGAAAAGATACGGAGGATTTATGAGGTTTTAATACCCTTCCCCATCAGTGACCCCAGGCCCTACCTAGCAAGCCTTTCTCTGTCCCCCAGTGAGAGACTGCCTTGCCAACCGTGTTTTATTGCCATGTGTAGCTTGCATTGTATAGTTGACTTTATTGTCTGAATAACTAACTATACAACCTGAAAGCTCTCATTTCAGGTTCTGTGATCTTTTGAGAGTCTGTGAGCTCAGTATTGGTCTCTTGCAGCTGTCTTGTTTTCATGCTAAAAGAGTTTTTGTCTCCTTGTCCTTTATTTTTGGCAAAACACCAATAAATGCTTACTTGTTTATGGATATAATAAACCCATTACCCCAACTGCATAACATTCTTGCAAGTCTCTTCTTCCCCAAAGCCCTCATTCACCTTTGCGTTTTGACAGTAAATTCTAAACACAGAGAGAGTCAAACCATCTACTTTCAACAGTATCATCACCAGCCTCCTTCTCCTCCAATAACTGTGAATGAAAAAACAGTTTTCATTTAATTTCTTATACATAAAATCTTAGATGATTAAACACATTAGAGCAAAATAAAATGCGTTTTTACTCCCATATCTGGAAATCAGATACATGAAGAAAACTAAAGCCTAGGAAAGAAATTAACTATTCCTTCTTACATATGAAAATCTGCATTTACATCCAGATGTGCATGTCTCTTTTCTTCAGCAAAGTATTTTAGAAGTTAATAAGAAACTAAAGATAATTTAGTCCCATTTGAATACAGGTAAAGCCCAGAAAGGATAAGTAGTTGGCCCAAGCTTGCCCTGCAGTTTAAGGATAGAAAAAGAATTAAGACCCCAAACTCCTTGCCGCCGAGCAGTCTTTGCCACTCTGATTCTCCATCTCTCATCCACATCCCCGCAAAGAACTGGGAGAACTTGGGACTATATATTGTTCACTGTTATGCACTCCTACACCACAACCGCGGTAGATGCTCCAACATCTGGTGAATGAATGTACGAATGGATAAAGTAATGAAGGAAGAGATTCTATAACCAGATCACTCACCAAGGCATTATGGATGTTTTAGACAGCAAATTTCCATCGCACAAATTGCTGATGACTATTTCATATGAATCAAACCATAAAGGACAACATTCAGGTACCAAAAATGTAACATTGTTTTCCTTTTTTCTAATTGAAACTACACTAATCACTCTCTTATCCAAGACCCTCACCCATTGTCACCTTTGTGTTCTTTCCCCAAAAATCTGGGTTTAGCATCTCAGAAAAACAGAGGAGTCTCTGATCTGCAGTCCAGACATGCAAGCCCAGGTGCTGCTTTCTGAAGAGGCGGCTCCCCTGTCTCGGGCAGTCCGACCCTGCCAGGTTCTCAGGGCTGCACGTGGCCCTGGACCGCTAGACGTCCCAACTCCTCCTGATCAGTGCAAGGGTCCCCACCGTTCACAGAGCCCCACTGCCACCTGGCTTGCTGACCATTAGCAAACTGGCGTTTTCTTCCAGTCCAGAGCCCTCCTCCATTTGAACTAGCAGTACATGTAATGTAGGTGTTTGAAGGAGACCAGGAAGAAGGTGATAACAGCAGCTGGCCCTCGGGAATCAGCGTCAGCAACATGAGGACTGACAGGGCTGGGACACGCTGGAGATATGAGGTCTCTGTTCGGCTTTAGCCAACTGTTTCCCTTGGAATACCATCCCCATATTGCCAGAATTTTCCAAAGAAACCTGAAGCCTAGATTTTCATGATAATATCCCAAATGTTTAATCTTGGCCATTGATTCCATTTAAAACAGTGTTATGAATAAAAACTGTGAAAGGGATTTATAAATTGCCATTTCTAAAAACAATCACAAGGATATAAAGTACAGCGTAAGAAATAGTCATATTGCGATAACTATGTATGGTGCCAAAGTGTACTAGAGTTATTGGAGTGATCACTTCATCGGTTATATAGATGTCTAATCACTATACTGTATACCTGAAACTAATATAATATATATCAACTGTAAATTAAAAATAATTTGATAATAAATAAGTAAAAAGCTAAAAATGAAAAATAAATCAGCATGGACCAAAAAAACCTATCTGCAAGTCAGATTTGAGAGACATGGGGCTAGTCTTCTGAGAAAAACTGTCACTTAATTCTCTCCCCTAGAACAAAGGATTCCTAAACCTTGGAAACAGGAATTCAGACTACACCTAGAGACAGTAAGAGTAAAATGCCCTGCCCCTCCCTGATAAGTTAATAAAATTATTTTACAATAGTGTAATATGTGTACATACGTCATCTCATACAATGTGTTTGAGAAAACCCAATTTCCCAATCAAATGAATACATTATTTTTCAAATCAAGCACCATTCTTCAGGCAGGAGCCCTTTCTTTTCTGTTCTGAGTTAGCTGTGCAGCTCTGGCTACGACACAGACAATTGTCTGTCCTTCTATTTCCCCATCTGTCACCTCTGCTTAGGGCTCAGTGATGCCCAGGTGCGACAGTGTTACTTAGTCTTGTGCCTCCTCACTCCTCAAATTCCTGGTGGAGAATAGATAACCTAGATATGTGCCACAAATGTTTAGGGAGGGAAGGAGCAGAGGACAGGGACAATGAAACAGGAAAGGAAGGACACAAAGAAGGGAAAAGAGGATGGGGCAAACAAGATGCTCCTTCTCTTTAGGGGATTATGAGCTGTTTGCTCCTGCTGGAAACACCAAGTGTAGCACAACGCTCAGCACCAGGCAGACCTTAGCAGACCTTAACAATAAGTATCAGCAGTTGTCCATAAGGTGTGGCTCTAAGTCGGCTGTATAGGTCTTCTGTGTCCCCAAATATCTCCCATGGTGTCCATCCTTCATTCTAATGAAATCCCATCATTAGAATTTTTGCACCTTTAAATCTAAAGGCTTTGATTTTCAATAATTTCCTATTCAAATTCTGAAGGGCATTTGCCTAACAGTCACCTGGGATGCTATTTTAAATGCAGACAACTAGTCACTGACTGTAATACTTAGTGTGTACTCAGCACAGATGTTCTGGGTTCAATAAGCATGGGAGGACTAGGATTAGAACTAGCCTAGGACTAGGACTTAGAGTTAGATGACTAGAGTCCAAGGCAAGATGAAGTACAAGCTGCCTTGAGAGGATCTTCAGAAAGCTCTTCACAATGCTAATTGGAATACAAATCAATTGAACTGCAGGGGGCGCTGCTGCTCCATTCTGGACCCCTTTCCAGGCCCAGAGCGCCCTCCTCCCTCAATTACATTCACTTGGGCCTCTCCCCAATTCCACCTTCAAGCTTGAGTCCTGGTCTGGATTCTTTCTGAGAGTTAATAACCTGTGAACTCTCTGTGTGAACTCTCTGGCCAGGCTGCCTGGGTTAAACCCCCAACTAACTGTGTGATCTTGCACCACTCCTTGCCACACTTCCCGCGTCTGTGCCCAGTTAGGTTGTAATAGTAAGTAAACGTGTTAACATATACAGGATGCTTAAGCCTGGGCTAGCATAAGAGCCAGTCGGTACTTACTGGGTTAGCTACAGTTATTGGTCAGCATCCCAGTTCTTACATGTAGGTCTTGATCTGTTCCCAACCCACCCTGCCTCACTCTGGGGCCAGGTGCTCTCTCCCCCTACACCGTTCAAGGATGAGATACAGTCTGCGAGCCTCAGTCCTGGTCAGAGCCTGAGAAGACCCAGGGAGAGGGTTTCCTCTTCTACTGATTGTGTCCTGTGAGGCAGAAACTATTTGCAGTTTTCTGTTAATACTCATCTTCACTTTCTCAGTTTTCTACTACAAACATGTAAAACCCATGTAATGAAAGCATCATCCAAAAGAGACATGAAGAGGGAGGGGGTATAAGGGGACTAAATGGTAAAGAAAAAAAATGCAATAAAGATTACATCGTAAATAAATAAATAAATAACTAGGTAATTAATTAAATAAATAAATAAGAGTCATGAAGAGTCTGCGCCTGGAGCTACAAAGTTTTCTTAGAAGATGGAGGAGGGGGCATACAACTTTGAACCTTTGAATACTATGAATGTTTATGGGGTTTTTCTCTTTAAATGTACATAAGCATCCCACATGAATCCATCCATCCATTCAACAAATAATGGAGCCAGCCACATGAGTGTCTGGCGGGAAAACATTGCCGAATGAGGGACAGGGAGCAGGGAACGTGGAGCCAGTCTTATGACCCCGCGTAGTTGTGGGAAGGCGAGAAACAGGCTTTGGGTTTTGATCTAAATATGACAGAAGATGATTCCAGGCTGAGAGCGGGCCAGTGTCAAGACAGAGTGCCGTGTGTAAACTCAGTGTCTGCCATAGAGAACAAGTTTCCTCACTCATTCTTCTGATAGAAGTATTTAGTATATCATCATTTTATACCCTCAAAAACATCTTGGTTTACCTAGAAATATAAAAGTTATGTAAAACGCTCATGTTTTATAATAAACATGCTATGAAAAATCTTCTTCATCAATTTCCACACCAACAAATAGAACTTAAAATGCTTGTTCATTGCTTAGCAAATGAAAAACAAACCAAAAAAAACACACACAATTGTATTATTGGCCAGCAACATGTGTCTCTGCAGAGAGGGAAGTGCAAAAATCACATTAGCAGAGAGAGTTTGGCAGTAGCTTAAAGACACCCATCCATAACATGGCATATGCTTTTACTTTGTCTTTTAGCTTTTTTTTTAAAATCAAGTATAACATATCTACAGAGATGTCTGCAAATCATAAGCGTACATCTCACTGAATTGCTATAAAACAAACATACACAGGAACCATCATCCAAGTCAAGAAACATCACCAGCACCCAGTCCTGCCCCCTCCAAATAACTAGCTCTCCCTTCTCCCCACAGGTAGCCACTGTCTTGACTTCTATCACCACAGATTAATTTTCCTGTTTTGAAATTTCCTATAAAAATAAACCTGTTTTTTCTAACTATGTGGTTAAACACTGAGATTTGTCCATGCTGTTGCACATAGCTGTGGTCTACTATTGTTATTGCCACACAGTATTACATTGTATAACAATACTTCAAGTTTCATTCTATTGTTGCTGGAGGCTCAGGTTGTTTTTCAGCTTGGGGCTGTTGCTAATGCTATTGCTATAAGCATTCTTGACAATGTGTCTTTTCATACATGATACATTTCTCTTGGGTACGTAACTAAGACTAGGTTTTCCAGATCATAGAGTATGCATATGTTAAACTCTAGTTTATAATGTCAACAGCTTTTACGGGGTTTGTACTAATTTGGACGACTAAACACATTGTATGACCCACCAATACTTTGGATTGTCAATCTTTCTTAATTGTAACCATTCTGTTTTAATTTACATTTCTCCAATT